AGTTAAAACTTATAATTTATCTATTATAAATTGTCTAAATATATAAAAATATTTAAAAATTGAAATTATAAGACTGATGCCGTTCTAACCAGGTGTATCCACCCGCCAGCATTATTCATTATATAAATTAGCAAAAAGTAAATGCGACGACCCGGGCTTGAACCGGGGACCTCCAGGATGCTGATTGGAAGTTCTTCAGTCTGGCGCTCTCCCAGCTGAGCTATCATCGCAGTCATTGGGTGATGCCCCTCAGTCAACAGGGAGGCCCTATGTACACTGCAGGCCCTATCATTCTCCCACCCACTCTCGTTCTTTCAACAACTAATCCTCCTCCCTCAGTATCGATGATGTCATCCCGATATTCGACTGCCTTTAATATAGAGCCATTTGTGTTAACTGGCAAATATAGCTGGGACTAACATATTGCCAGCCATGGTACGTTAGTTACAAATACTACGCAAAGGGACAGTAATCAACTGGTGCCTTAGTCCGGTAGGTACCCTGTGACTTTTGCCCCCCCCCCCCCCCCCCCCGGGGCCCCCGCACGACCTACTCCTACTCGTAATCAGGTACTGGGTACAGGTCCCTCAGCCCACAGGTCTGCATGTGATATGCAAGCAGGCATGGATGTTTCCGGTGTTATCTCGTGTCTTGAGGACAGGTCCGGTGCCGCTGCATGAATCAGTGCGTATGGAGATCCGAAAGGACGACCAACAGGTGGAGGCGAGTCCATCCATTGACAAATATTAGCACCGGAGGCTTCGCTCCAAATACAAGACATAGAATCACAAGGTATATCCTGATAGAGGTTGGGTAAACCGTGTTCCTATTTTCATAGTCTACGCATCCACCGGTCCGTCTGCGGTCAGAAAGTCAAAATCGCAGCCTTCATCTGCCTGGTTAACATGTCTCTCATAGAGGCCTCTATATCCACGCATAGTCTTTCTGGCCTGCCAGGGATCTCGATCTTTGTTCCTGGCCACGGTCTCTCCGCGAATTCGCCCGCTCTGTGGCAACGGTTCCCGATCCTTCTTCCGACTCTCTATCCTCCTCTCAATGTCGACCTTATCCACCTCCAAATGCAGCAATCTCCCGGCTACATCGCAAGTGATGAAGTCGCCATCCTGGACGATGCCCAAGACAGACTCTGGATCGGCGGACTCGGGCGAAGCATGGACCACTATCGTCCCCCCGGCGGTGCCGCTCATCCGGCCGTCGCTGATTCTCAGCATATCTGTGACGCCTTGTCTGCCGAGTTTTCGGGGGATGGGTATGAGTCCAGCCTCCGGCATGCCGGGGTTCCCAACAGGCCCGATGCCCTGTAGGACAAGGACGGAATCTGCCGTGACGTCCAAGTCATCCGAGTCGATACGTGCAGCGAGGTCCCTACTGTTCCTAAACACGCATGCTCGACCGCGATGTTGGAGCAGACGCTTATCTTTAGAGGCGCTAGCTTTCATCACTGCTCCCCGGGGTGCTAGATTGCCGTATAAGACTGCCAAGCTAGAGCATTGATACAAGGGATCATCCAACGGGCGTACAATACGTCGGGAGAAGTCGAACGATTGAAAGGGTGTTTGATCTAGCATTTCCCCCAGTGTCTGGCCAGTATACACCCGTGCATTCAGGTGGAGCAGGGGCCGTAGAGTATGCATCAGAGCTAGCATGCCTCCTGCGTTATGGAAATCAGTCATGTAGTTCTCGCCACTGGGTTTTAGGTCGATGAGTAGCGGTGTCTTTCTCCCTATCTCGTCAAACGTCCGGAGAGTGATGCGTCCCCTGACGCCGGGGTGTCTATTTATGATGGCCATAAGGTGCACGATGGCGTTAGTGCTTCCTCCAGCAGCCTGGAGCACGATTATGGCGTTGACGAAGTTCTCATATGCAAGGAGCTTCTGCGGTCTGAACGCCTCTGTATCTCTGAGGAGCCCGACAGCATGTTTTCCGGTATTCTCGGCCACCCGTAGCCTTGTTGACGACACTGCCGGGCTTGTGGCACCGGCTTTGAGGTCAATAAGACCCAGAGCGGCGGTGATGCACGCCATGGTACTTGCGGTGCCCATCACGCCGCAGGTCCCAGCGGTCGGCGCGAGCTCTTCGTTGACCTCCATGATGTCCTCTATATCGATAACGCCCGCGCGGAAATTGGCCCAGTTATTCCTGCAATCGGTGCAGGCTCCGACGCGTGTCCCCTTTACGGATCCGGGCATCATGGGGCCAGTTATCAGGGGTAAGAATGGCTTGTTCGCAGAGATACCGCCCATGAGCTGCGCCGGAACCGTCTTGTCGCAGCCCCCAATCATGACCACCGCATCCACCGGCTGAGCCTTAACCATTTCCTCTGTATCCATGCTCATGAGGTTTCGCAGATACATGCTCGTGGGACTGGAGAAGGACTCGTGGATACTAATAGTGGGAAACTCCATTGGTAGGCCGCCAGCCAGCAAGATTCCACGCTTTGCAGCCTCGACGAGCTGGGGGACCTGGGCGTGGCAGGGGTTGAATGACGAGAAGGTGTTGATGATACCGATGATGGGCTTGCTCAGAGATTCGTCGGTGTAGCCCAGAGCCTTGATGAAGACCTTTCTAAGGAACAGGCTGAAGTGTGCATCGCCATAGCCAGGTAAATTTGATCGTAGCCCCCCCCGCTCGGATGAAATGGGAACATTGAGATCGTAATCAGAACGAGCCGTCGATTCGGCCTCGATGTTGCCATTGCGGGTCGATCCCATCACATTTGATTCTGGAAGATTGGTAGCATTGGAATCCCCAGGCTCGTTGGCCTGCGATTTGATGGAGGCCGGCAACTCGTCCATGGCGTAAATAGCCGTTAACTGAGTGGTGAAAATGCCGTAGAAAGTCTGGGTATATGATGTGTGAGATATGCGCGATATAGTTACCTACCGTATTGTGTAGTTTCTTCCGAAATGATGCAAGCGGAATAGGGGGAAATACCGCTTATTCATGCACTTACTTGGTGGGCATGGTCCACTTAGGCTTCATTAGAGGAGTCGTCTTCTCAGCATCTTGACTTCCCACGGTCTGAGGCCGGACATAGTGACTCCAGACACTGTTACTGATTCCACTCAACTTCGAGATAGTCGACGAGAACAATACTGGCGAGAGTGAAATTACCTCCATCGCCTGGTTAATGTAAACCTTGCTTAGTGGGACCCCTCAAACCAGAATAGACGGGCAATGCAGTTTCTGGTGTAGAGGCAGTTGGGACACGAATTGTATCATCTAATTGTGCCTTACTCCCTTCGCACTTCAAGCCGCTCTCGCATAGTATCTAGCCATGTCTTACGCCACCAAGCTTCACAGCTACAATCTTCGCCTCGGTAGTAGGCTCTCCCGGGTCCGGGAAGGCACCATTACCCATAGTCGATACATATATCGTATCCTTATCGTTCGACGTCCGCCCTAGCCTCGCTGACGTACATGACAGCAAGGTGATAGAATCAGGACCGCCCGCCAAAACGGTAACGATGCCATCCTGAGTGACCTTCACTACCTGGTTGTTCCACACAGCAGCGGCGTAGATGGTCCCGTCATCCGCGATGTCAAAATCGTCGAGTGCAAGGTCCGCGGCGATGAGTTCGGGAGTTCCATTAAGCTGGGCGTCTTCGTTGACGGGGATGCGGTAGAGGCTTCCCGAGGCACCGCTGACGAGGTATACGGTGTTGTCGTGGACCCGGATTCCGTTCACGAGCGTAACCTCGGGGATGTCAAGCGCAATGTCAAAATCCCCTGTCTCTACGTCTAGCAGATAGACTACATTGCCGGTGATATCCCCCACTAGTACCCGCTCATTATCCCACGCCGCAATGCCGTTCAAGAAGCCGGCGTCAGGGAAGCTCGCTATCAGCTCGGGAACAGGCTCCTGGCCGCCATGGTCCACCGTCATATCTACCCTCCAAACGGCCAGAGATCCGGGCACGAAGCCGCCTGCCTCAAAGGAGAAGTTGCCAGCCGCGAAGACGTACACATCTGGCGTTATCTCGGTTATCCCCGTCGCACTGAGAGCACCGGGGATGGTAAGGAGGGGTGCGCCGGTTTTGCGAGAGGGGTTGATGTGCCATATCTGAGGGGAGTCCATGCGAGTGGCGAGGATGGTGCCATGGGGGCGAACGACGAGGTTTTCAAACCATGGGCCGATTGTGTCGAGCTCGAAAACAATAGAGACTCTGGGCTTTCCTCCGGCGAGGGTGGCTGAGACGGAAAGGGCCGCGGATAAGATGGTGGCAGAGGTGAGGCGCATGGTGATGGCTGGATGAGATATCTTCCTGTCCCGTGGGAGTCTGCGTGGGTTCACGGAATCTCCAGGAAGAATACCAGCGGCGGAGCTACCATTTATATTGCAAGCGGTCTTTGAGAATCCCAACGAATTCCTCCTCTAATATTAGTGCAAACCGCCGCTCCCTTGGGAGCTCACCTCACCCACGAGGTCGCACCAATTAGCAGGAGGGAAAACCTGGAGGCCCGAGCGAGCACCCTGGTTCCTGTACCAACTAGCCTGCATATATTATTGATTTAAGGGCGCGCTTACGCATATGCATTCCCATGCGGGCTCTCGGGAAATGCTTGGTTCACCTCCTGTTCCAGTTCCATCACGCCTTATTCCTCAGGGCCTTGAATTGCGGCGGCCATCCTCTATTGAAGTACTGCGCAGCAATTTCTGCATTGCGGCACGCCAAATAGTCCTTGGGGCAATTAGACTCATGCAAGATTGACTAGCAGGACTGACTCGTAACTATTGCCACTACTCCGTAATAACGGGTGCTGAGTTTGTTGCCCGCTTGGCCCATAAGATGATAATAATCGTGGTGACACCAATGGCTAGATAAGTAGCAGGCGGCCAAGACTACAAAGGGAGAAGAACACATCAGGAAATCACCATGTTCAAAGGCGCCGGGCTCCACATCACTTAAGCCCTACCCGGCATATATCCTTGGCCGGTCTACGGTTTAATCACGAGAGAGCTTAGGCATAGCCTGGACCGGTCCTACTCGGTTCCCGTTCCTCGAATACCTTTATTTCTCACCAGGGGGATCACCACCTCGCAGTCGGAGTGGGTCTTGAAGTCGTAGGGGGTCTCGAGTTCCTTTCGGATGAGGCGGTGGTTGCAGATCTCCCCGTCAACGGCGAGGATGATAGAATAGCCTTGCCATATGCCCGCAGAGTGTGTCCTGGTCCAGTATTATTCGTCCGACGGGAGCAAGTTTGGGAG